ACTTCCTGTTTCATGGCGAATCATCGACGCCACGGACATGCCCATCAATGAAAACGCGCAGAGAGCACAACTTTACATCGTCAATGCCTTTAGAAGGCACAGGAGAAATTTGAAGTCGATCCGACTAAATCCCTAGGAGGAGTTCGTTAAAGTACGGAGTGTGTAAATTAGGGGTGTCCATGGTTAACCGGTTAACCGATTAACCGTTTAAAATTGGATAACCGAGTGAAACCTTTTTGCTCGGTTAAGTGGCGTCAATACATATTTGCACAAAACTTTTGCGTTTTTTTTTCTGATTGTCGATAAAAAAATATTGTGAAATGACAGCGTTTCCATTAACAATGTTATGCGACTAAAACATTTTTTTTTTCCTTTCGCGATAAGCCATTCCAAAAATAATGGCAACGGACGTTGGTAGTCTATCACAGCCACCGCACTAAACATTATTATTATTTATAAAAGGAGACGTGGTGTGTCATCCAAGCATTAATGGCAGGGACAGTCACAGAGTTTCTGTGTGTTTCTCCCTCATTTCTGCTCCGCGGTCTTGATTGTGGCATTTCTTTGAGGTTTTGTCTAGTAGGCTATTCCTTGTATCCTTTATGAATTTTAAAAAAAGAACTCTGCCTCGTATAGGTCCAAACGGTCAGTGTAGCCTACTTTTGTGTTCATTCGTTTCCCCTTATTTAATCTGTAGGCCTAATTGCAAAACGAAAAATGAACGGTTGTATTTTGTAAAACGCAGAGTTGAACACCAAAATGTTAATTTGAACTGTAGGACTACGTCAAATGCTGCGCAAAAATATATAGGCTATATATCGACGAATTTTCAGATATTTGTTTGATTTTTTTGCCCCTTTAAACATTTAAAATATTTGACAAATGAATATGGAAAAAAAAAGATTTTACTGGTTTTCTGAGGCCAGATTAGAACCTGGAAATAATTTTCCCCGCAGTGCTGAATGAGAAGAGCCATAACCACAGCCTACAGAAAGGGGATTTAGATGATTTATAAGATATAATAAATGTGTCTGATAATAAAATAATATAAAATAACGAGGCATTCATTGTTTATTAATAAACTTGTTTTCTAAATCAGTTTCTGCTAAAAACAAATCTCCATCCCCGGATGCACCTTTAGAGAGAAATACATAATTAGCTGACTGCATAATTACATAGTCAGAAGATATTGGCTTTCGATTCGAATTTGTTCGTTTTAAATTGGACATTTAAAGCTTTAGTCTACAAAAGCTTTAAATGTCTGATTTAAAACGAACAAAATCGAATGCGGTGGCTGTTTCAGTTCTCGCGCTTCAGTTCATGGAAATCATGAAGCGCGCCTGTTTGTTAAAGCACAACGTTTTCTTGTTATTGTGAGTTTACGGAAATAAATGTATTTGCGAATAATGTATTATTATTTTCTGTATGACCAGAAATGAAAGAGTATTTTAAGTTGTTTCTACTGAAAGAACTGCAATGAAACTGCAAGTGTTCACATGGGCGTCTCGCAGCCTCCACACTAAGCACACACACTGGATATGCGTCAAAATATTGTGTTTATTTGTGCTTTGTTCCTTTTTTGGATAAAAGCGTCTTCTACATATGCAGCCTAATAAAATGTTACAATAATGATGATTATTATTAGTATTTGCGGATACGGAGTTTTTGCGAAATGGACGTGTTGCCAATGTGCGTATTTTCAATGGGCAATTTCAGTTTGAAGGGTGATGGAAACGCGCCTACTTTAACTGCTCTGAACTTACCACTGCGTTTTATTTCTATAAATTAATTTCGTTTCAAATGGGGTCCAACCAGTTATTAAAGGTGTTAAAAATTAACTCTGTATCTCGAGGTTGCGGCGCGCACATGGTTAACCGAGTATTAACCGATAAGGGCCTCGGTTAACGGTTAATGAAAAACTTGAAAATGTGCAGCCCTAGTGTAAATCGTCCCAAAATGGGCGCCAAATTCAAAATGACGGACTTCCTGTCGAGTTTAGGGTATGGGTTCTTGAGGCTTTTTTGTACGTCTGGTCATGGTAGATGTACCACAGAAATTTCGTACATGACGGTCAAACAAGCGGCGGGGGCTGCTTCGTTAAAGGTCACTTCCTGTTGCCACTAGGTGGCGCTATGACTGTGGGTGAATGTCGGCATTTCGATTTGTTCAGGGCGGGACTCTTGTCAAATGTGTAAAATTTCCTGCAAATCTGGGCATTTATAGCCAAGTTACTACAACTTCCTGTTTCATGGCGAAACATCGACGCCACAGACACCCCCATTGACGAAAATGCGCAGATAGCACAACTTTACATCGTCAATGCCTTTAGAAGGTACAGTAGAAATTTGAAGTCGATCCGACTAAATCCCTAGGAGGAGTTAGTTAAAGTACGTAATAAGTAAATCATCCAAAAATGGCGGTAAAATTAGAAATGGCCGACTTCCTGTTGAGTTTAGGGCATCACTCCAGGAGACTTTTTTGTGCGTCTGGACATGGTAGATGTACCACAGAAATTTCGTACATGTCGGTCAAACAAGCTGCGGGGGCTGCTTCGTTAAAGGACACTTCCTGTTGCCACTAGGTGGGGCTATGACTGTGGGTGAATGTCGGCATGTAGATTTGTTCAGGGCGGGACTCTTGTCAAATGTGTAAAATTTCGTGTAGACCTGGGCATTTACAGCCAAGTTACTACAACTTCCTGTTTCATGGCGAATCATCGACGCCACGGACACGCCCATCGACAAAAACATGCAGATAGCACAACTTTACATCGTCAATGCCTTTAAAAGGTACAGCAGAAATTTGAAGTTGATCCGACTAAATCCCTAGGAGGAGTTCGTTAAAGTACGGAGTGTGTAAATCGTCCAAAAATGGCCGCCAAATTCAAAATGGCGGACTTCCTCTCGAGTTTAGGGTATGGGTTCTTGAGGCTTTTTTGTGCATCTTGAGATGATACACGTCTCCACCAAATTTCGTGCATGTAGGTTGAACATGGACGAGGGGCTAATTTTTTCCAATTTTCTAGGTGGCGCTAGCGTGCCATTTTCCCACGCCCATCCGTGAAACCCACAACATACGAAATTTTTCACCAGTCCTGACATGCGTGCCAAATTTGGTGAGTTTTTGAGCATGTTGCGGCCCCGAAAATGGCGCTTACTTTGCAGAAAAAAAAATAAATACAAAAAAAATTAAAGCTGCAAGCAGCGATGGGCGGGCCCTCGCACCTGTAGCACGTCGGGGTGTGAGGCGACCGCGTTGCATATTCTGCGGTTCAGCCGGTGTGGCTGTGAATTTGCTTAGCTGCTTCGTTAAAAGTCACTTCCTGTTGCCAGCAGGTGGTGCTATGACTGTGGGTGAATGTCTGCATGTTGATTTGTTCAGGGCAGGACTCTTGTCAAATGTGTAAAATTTCGTGCTGGATCTGGGCATTTACAGCCAAGTTACTACAACTTCCTGTTTCATGGCGAATCATCGACGCCACGGACATGCCCATCGATGAAAACGCGCAGAGAGCACAACTTAGAAAGAAAAATAGCCAAAGCTCGTTTTATGTCAAAGGACCTTTAAAACCATAATTTGAAAGAACCATAATTTGAAAGAAAGAAAGAAAGAAAGAAAGAAGTAGGGTTGGGCCGATAGACGATAGTATCGTGTATCGACGATAGTCTGACATATCGCCGATGGCAGATGCCTTTGACGATATCAATACGATAATTGGCTCGTTTTACCATAATGTATTAAATTATTATTATTAGGCCTATTATTATTATTATAAAGCTAGTATTGTTATTAAATGAATATTAGGAACTACAATCAATTTGCCTTGCCTAAATTTACAACGACATCACCTCATTACAATTGCAACAACACACGCACTAATGAGGACTCCTCTAAGAGAATGTTTTTAAAACAGACTAAAAAACATCCCACATCAAAATTTAATTGCATGGTGATCCATTCACAAATTATCAAGTGTGCTCGTTTTAACAGACGCAAAATTCAATTTCCTACAGATCCAAGATGAAAACGGCATCGTTGTTCGTCAGTATTTGTTTCCGTAACACATTAACAAAACGTTTAATGACACTAACACTAAAAACAATACAATTACTAAATAGTATTAATAATATCACTAAAATAGTATTATAGTTACCGTTATCATCGTCGTCTCTGAGGGAACGCGGCGTTAATGCAGATGGCGAAAGCAGTCCGTTTTTACTTTCACTTTCAGAGATTGAGCGCGTTTACATGCGACGACGTTCTTAACCTGATTATGTTGAATAAACTTGACAATGCATCTGGTCATGTAAACGTTTCCTTTATCAGAGTCAAGTCATAAGTATAAGTATAAACCCATCGACTCAGCTAGACGTTTGGCCCTTGCTCTTGTTTCTCTCGGCATTTAAAACACATTAACCCGCGTACTTCGTACTTACTAAAGTGCGCATGTGAAGTGCGCAGAGAGCGCACTGGTAGGGAGCACATATCGCAAACTCCGACTTTTTCTGACCCAAGAAATTATTAAAAACGTGTTTTCATCTCGTGCAGAAATAGGCCCTAGTCAAAATGCTGCATGTAATGGCATGAGAATAGGCTAATGTGTCCGTAAATTTCCAGTTGACAAACAAAAGGATTAGGATCTCTTTTTTCTACTTCACTATACCAGGAAATAACCTGATCCTATTAATAAACACTCCACCTTTGCTAGCAAAATAGAAAAAAGATTCTCGTATATAAAACGAAGTAGGCTAGTAAAACAAGCAAACGAATGAGTAGGCTAAATAATCAAGTTAATAATCAAATGTTAGCCCCGCCCCCTCACGATACTATCGTGTATCGCCGATCTCACAGGCTGACGATAGGACGATATGAAAATGGAGCATATCGCCCAACACTAGAAAGAAGCATACATACATATAGTACATACATAAATTTCAACAATGTTGTCAGAGGACACATCACTGCAAAATTAAAGGCTAAGTAATATTTATTTTGCTTACTTTCTGTTTTTTCATCTCAACGACCGTCTCATTATCATCATAGAAACCAAACTGACTGAAAAGCAAGAAAATGAGACATCATAAAAATCATTTGAGAAAAAGTATAAAATGACCATCTTATTTCTAGCAAAATCTGAGGGATTTAAACAACCTTGACTGCCATGGTGTGATGACCCCATCATCAGGACCACCAATCAGCACAAGCTTCTTAATTCGCAGAAAATGCTGTTTCCAAGCTGTGCAAGGAGAATATTACATCACAAACCAGTAATAAACACTGCAAACTATAAAAGCAATTGAAAACATTAATCAAACTCTGGCACTCAAAACTGCAGAAATCACAACTATCATCCTCTTAGTGAAGATGTACTTTTTAAAAAGCTAGGACTGTGATCTGGTGTCTTACCAGTAGAGTTGGGATTAGGTCTTTCATTGTTCAGTAATGCCAGATAGTCACTGCTGTTGATGTACAAGTCTCTGTGATGAGGGTCTGAAAAAAAACAACAACCCTGAAACATCACCGTATGGTCTTAAAGAGATACTAGAGTTTTTCAACATAATATCTTTGCTGTAATAATAAATAACCACTCAGTGAATGATCAGAGTGCTTTTAGTGTGAGGTTTTTCGGTTGTTCTGGGTGCTTGCTTATGGAGAAATACAAATTTGTCAAATGTTTAATTTAGGTTTCCACTCCAATGGTATAAAAACTGATAAAGTCTCCAGCGAGAGTCTCCTTTCCTGATAGTCCTGTTTTTGATTGGATTAGCTATAAGGGAGACTTCCACCTTTTGTCTTTAATGGCTCTGGGATGGCTCTTTGGAACCAGAGTTCCTGCCACCATCAGCATTTGAATAGTTATGCTGATTCAATCGGATTGGTAATGGCCTCAGAGTAGGGTGTGTTCCTAATTCATTTGCATGCTTTGTTTCAGTTTCTCCCCCCTCAATGTAAACTCCTCCCCTCTAAATGTATAAATTGTAAGGGAATATTTTCCCTTAGTTAGACTATCTTAGACTATCTTTGAGATGACTACAGCTACGCAATAAAGAACTTCTGCGTGAAAGATACCTCAAGAGTCTCCTGGTCTGTTGCGTGGAAGAAGAAAAACTTCACTACAGATGGTGCCTTGTGACCCGGATAGAGAAATCTTACCTGAATCAAGAACTGCAACAAAAGATTTCAACAGAGAAATCTTACCTGAGTTCCAGAACAAGATCAACAAAGTGAACTGAGTTCCAGAACAAGAACAAAAAGAACTTTTCTGACTGAGTTCCAGACTGAATCTTTTCATACAAGCAACGATTCGGTGAGTTTCACTCTATTCAAAGAACCAGACCAGTACCAAAGTTGTGCCTCTGCGCCGTCAGAGAAAGAGTTATCAGGCAGCTGTAGTGTTTGATTAACTAAAGTTATCCTTTAAAAGTGGTCTTTTAAAGATGATAGATATCCTCTGTTGTCAGGCAGGGAAGATTGACATTAAATGTTAATATTTTGGGATCCTCTGAATAAGTCAGGGAAGTTGTAAGATATCCTCTGAATGAGTCAGGGAAGTTTTGTGTAACGGAATAGTGCCTCTACGTTGCTAGAGAAGATATCCTCTAAACTTAGGGAAGATTAACATTACGTGTTAATATTTGGTGATAACCTCTGTTCACAGAGAAGGATTAGCATTTTTGTGCTAGTTATTGTGGTCGTATCCTCTAAAAATTTTGGAAGGTGAAAGATCCTTTCCATTTTTCTTTCAGGGAAGATTAGCGCAACATGCTAATAGTTTGTGTTGTTTGTTTGTTGTTTTGTGGTGTTACCCTCTAAAAAATGTATTTTAGAGATGAAAGTTTGATCCTCTGTACAAGCAGGGAAGGTTAGCATAAAGTGCTAGTAATTGTGGATTTCCTTTGCTTTGTTAAAGAAGGTTTACAACAGTCGATCTGTGTAAACAAGTGTAGCCTCTGTTGATCAGAGAAAGTTATTTGTTTTGTGTGATAACAAAGAAACTCACAAATGGTTGTGACGAATGCTAGGTTGGTTCCTACAACAGAAAAGAGTGCCTTGCCACTCCATTGTGGTCAGATAGTGAATTTAAGTCATTGTTAGGAGAACACATTGACTCCATAGTGACTCAGTCAGTCAGATTGAATTTGACAAAGAAATTTGGCATTCACCCAGAAAAAGTATGGTCTATAGATGAGTGTAAAAAAGTGCTTGGAGCAAGTATTCGCAAGAACAATGTGAAAGCTATTATCTGTTGTTACAAAGAATACAGTTTATCCATTGCACAAGAGCAAGCTAGGTGTATTGCTAAGTTAAATGAACAGAACAAACTATTGCAGACTCAATTGTCCTGTTTCAAGACAAAGGTGGGCCATAACCATGCCTCAGCCAAATGTAACACTGAAGACCAACAGTCAGATGAAACTTTTCCTGACTTACAAGCATTGTTTGAAAGAGATGTAGACATCCCATCAGTAACAGATAAGCATGTAAATTCAGTGAAGGTGTGTGTTGCCAGAAAAAGACCGCAGGGAATTGAACAGTCAGAAAGTGTTCCTTCCAGTGCTTCTGTTGTTCAAATCCAAACTGTTGCTACAACGCTCGGACCTAGAGACATAGAGAGATTGTCACAGAGTTTACCGCCAGCACGCACACAGTTCACTGAATTTAGAAGAGCATTGGTCAGCAAAATGCGTCTCTACGACATGTCGTTAACAGAAATCACACAGTTAATGTCTCAAATTCTAACTGAATCTGAATTCAACAGTTTTAAGTCTGCTGTTACTTCTGAACTGCAACATGCCAGAAAAGATGAATTGAGAGAAGGTGTTCTGAAAATCCTAAAGAATATCCTAGGACCCAAGATAGATTGGTCTAGAATTACTAACTGTGTACAAAAGAAAGAAGAAACTGTGAATGAATACACTGAGAGTTTTGTCAGTCAGCTGTAACGTACAGTGGAATAGTGGATGATTCTGAAAGTGTACTCAATGACAAAGGACCGCTGGTCCGCATCTGGTCAGATGGCCTTATAGCTGACTACAGAAGTGCTTTGCCATTTTTGGATCTGACTTGGTCTCACAGAACTCTTAGAAGTAACCTGGACAGGTTAACTGCTTGGGAAAGAGATTTTTGATGTTAAGGCAAGAGTACAAATTGCAGCAGCCTCTTTTAAGGTCAGCACAGAAAACCCACAGAAACGTAAATGTCCTAAGAGAGAGGGCAGGTGTTATTACTGTGGTCAGCCGGGACATTGGAGCAGAGAGTGTAGAAAAAGCAGAAAGAACTTTAAAGAAGTCAAACTTTTTGCCAACTTCTCAGTTACTTGCTACTTCTGAAGCCACCATTCCACGTCTTTAAACGGGTGGGGCAGCTTGTTGACGTGTTAACCATTTGGACTGTGAGTGCTTAATTTCCCCAGTAACTTACAACAGAGATAAACAACTTATGTTTGTTTAACGGAACAAAAGGGAAGTGACTGTCTCAGCTTTTCTTTGGGGCACTGCTTTAAGTAAACTCACAGCCTTAAATGTTATTCTACAGTACAGGCCTTTCATCAATAATAGTGTTAGTCAGACTGTAAATGCCCACACGCAGTATTGGCACTAATGAATGAAGCAAAAGTCAATTTTGTCACCTTTTCCATTGGGAAATTGATTTAACTATCCTCACCCATTCTCACGTATGATGTCTACAACGACTGATGTTTTGTTAGAGGATGAAGGAAAATAACTCATAATTGGGTACGCAGATCAAAGTACACATGTCACAGGACAGGTCAAGCCATTAGAGCCTAAGTGGCATGTGCCCCATCAAGTAATGTTGATCGGCAGTATTGTGTCAAGGTAGAAAAGCTTTGTATTATGTTGTCGCATTAAAAGGGTTCTGTCACATTGCAAAGTGTTCTGCAAAGTTCTGCCACCCACAGGGACATGATATGGACACGAACAGTGAGGAGCCAAGGGAAGAACCAAATGCAACAGGCTTTGGGGGCCAACCCTTTCGGTGAAGACTCCCTCATAGGTTCCCCCATCCATTTAGTCCATCCTCACCTCACTGTTTTCTTTAGGTGTCAAGAATTAAGGAATAGGGAAAGAGGGAACAATAGCAGACTCAGTGTTTACTCAGCAGGATACAACCCTTGTCTTTGAAGAAATACTGCTCTCTTGTTTTCTTTTTCCTCTGTGCAGATACCACTTGATGGCTATCCCGAGACCCATACGCACAGACGTCTTCACCTGCGTATGAAGACACCACTTCCAGAAAACAACGAGACCCACTGCCGAGCCAACTCTTACCAAATTAAAGAAGAAAAAATACACAACGCAGAGAAAAGACTTACGGAACCTTCAGTCCATCAACATTATCAAGATGTAGTAACCACCAGGACATCGCACAAAGTGAATACTCCACAATCCTCGTTTTTGCTGGAAACCTTGCAGGCCACAGCCGAAGATGGCTGCATTGACTCACTTGTGCACAAACATGATGGTTAAACAGTCTTGATCTTTCAGCAAAAAATTACACCAGATGTAACTGAAGTTTAAATTTTCCGTAAGAGCTTCACGGACCCTAATTGCATGTTTGTTTTCTGTGTCAGCATGTAATTACAGAAAAAGCAAACACAGAACATAAGTATGTGCCTGTAACTAGCACAAGTTACATGAATGAACTTTCTTAATTGTTTAAATTTGTATATAGTGTGGGAGTTATTTAGAACTCCCAAAGTGGGAATTGGAGAAATACAAATTTGTCAAATGTTTAATTTAGGTTTCCACTCCAATGGTATAAAAACTGATAAAGTCTCCAGCGAGAGTCTCCTTTCCTGATAGTCCTGTTTTTGATTGGATTAGCTATAAGGGAGACTTCCACCTTTTGTCTTTAATGGCTCTGGGATGGCTCTTTGGAACCAGAGTTCCTGCCACCATCAGCATTTGAATAGTTATGCTGATTCAATCGGATTGGTAATGGCCTCAGAGTAGGGTGTGTTCCTAATTCATTTGCATGCTTTGTTTCAGTTTCTCCCCCCCTCAATGTAAACTCCTCCCCTCTAAATGTATAAATTGTAAGGGAATATTTTCCCTTAGTTAGACTATCTTAGACTATCTTTGAGATGACTACAGCTACGCAATAAAGAACTTCTGCGTGAAAGATACCTCAAGAGTCTCCTGGTCTGTTGCGTGGAAGAATAAAAAACTTCACTACACTTACTAGCCCAAGTCAAAAGAGCCCACTCATTGTCTCTGTGATATGCCTCTGGCCGCCCCTAGTATAAAATGACCACCATACAAATCGAGTGTCTATAGTCCGAGTGCTGCAATAAACACAGCTCATTATTTCATTCACTCCCACCCCCTCACGTCTGGGATCCTTACAAAGCCACGCCCCCAAAACACATGAACGCGTGCTGCCGACCGCGCTCAGCTGGAGCACACGTTTACCAGCGCCGTGGAGAGGAGCAGAGCCTGTAGTGACATCATGTCAGAATCACATGTAATATTAAAGCTGCAAGCAGCGATGGGCGGGCCCTCGCACTTGTAGCGCGTT